TTATAACATAACACAATAAAATTATCAAAAGTTTAACCGTCTTATTGTCATTTACATTATAGCTTAATAACTACAAGTATTTTGAAAATCCATATATATATGTATATATATATATATATATATATATATATATATATATATATATATATATATATATATATATATATATATATATATATATATATATATATATATATATATATATAATCTTTCATAGTAGTCAAAATATGATAGTCATATATGTAATGTCATATATATAATGGTAGTCATATATATAATGGTATATATAATATATGGTATGTATATATAATGGTATATATTATATATGGTATGTATGTATAATGGTTTGTATATATAATAGTATATATAATGGTAGTCTTATATATAATCTTGCATGGTAGTCAAAAAGTTTTTCCATAAACTGTAGTTTTAAAGAGAATGCAAATAAACCAAACCAGAAAAAGTTTAAAAACTTATAAATAAATTTTTTTTTTAATGATAAATTGCTTGCCTAAACCAAATATTTTTACTACATCGACTATCTTATAGCAGTAGGCTATAAGATAGTCGATGTAGTAAAAATAAAAATGTAGTAAAAATAAAATACTTGTAATTAAAAAAACTTTTCAGTCATTATTATTGCGATTTTTAAAAAAATGATAAAACTTAATGTAATGTACACATTATTTTAATTGTTTTAACTTTTCAACAACATTAAAAAGTAGCTCAATTGTTAAAGTCACTTAAATGTTGTTGAAAGAGACTTTGTTTACCATAAAAGTCTCTTTCAACTCCGATATAAGGATATATATATATGTATTAGGGGTATGACTAAAAAGCACATTTTATTTTTTAGGAAATGGCATAGCGGCAAAAGATGAACTTTTACTTGTATTAACTTAAAATAATAATGCTTTTTTCCAAATTGAAAAAAATTGAAAAATTTGGTCCCAGCTTTCTAAAAATGCAAAAAATTCAAGCTTTTGCATTTATAGTAGAGGCAGGGTCACTTAACAAAATTTCAAAAATACCATTTTTTTTTTTTTTGTAGCTTGATCTATCTACTTTTAGATTATGTTTTGTTTTTTGTTAAAAATGATGGGAAGAGTTGATCTTAACCATTTGCAACTATGTGTTTATTTGAGAGATAAGGGGGGGGGGGGAGGCAGCTTTTTAATTTTTTTTTTCATGTACTTTAGACTATTTTATGATTTTTTTATCAGTTGTTTTAAATTTTAAACAATGATAAGCTACAACCATTAAGTTTACTTCTCCGTCTACTTTAGTTTCTAAAAGTTTCAATGAGGACTTGGTTCTGCACTATAATGTAGAACAAAAAGACCAGTGACAAATTTTTTTTAAAAGGACATAGCCGGAATAAGTTCCAGTATGATGAACTGGTTTTTAGCCTTCTGTCTAAAGTAATGTTATTTTTAACAAATCAAAGAAAAATCAGTTTTTAGGTCCAAAAAATCTTTAATTGTTATATAATTTGCAGACTTTTTTGTTTGAGCTAATTCAAGAGCTAATTTATGTAATTTATGTAATTTATGTAATTACTTTACAGATAATGAATTAAAATAGGATCAATATACTTTTTAAATTTTCTAAAAGGCTGGAGATGCTGTCTATCTTATTATCTTCATTGTCGCAAGTATCTAAACATTTTAGTCTCCTTAAATTTTTTACTATCTAACCTTTATTTGTTTCCTAATGGGCTCTTATTATCTTTAAATTTTTTTCTTACTTCACTATCTATTTTGCTAAATTATTTTGGCGCAACATTTCTTCAACATGCAATCCTTTCTGATCATTGAGAAAATTTACATCTTGTCTACTTTTTAAAACTTATGTTTTATTTTTCAAGATGATAAGTTTTGTTAAGTGACACTGCCTCTACTATAAATGCAAAAACCTGAATTTATTGCATTTTTAGAAAGCTGGGGCCAAATTTTCATCTGCACTAGTGGGGGAGTTTTTTTCAATTTGGAAAAAAGTATTATTATTTTAAGTTAATACAAGTAAGAGTTCATCTTTTGCCGCTATGCTATTTCCTAAAAAATGAAATGTGCTTTTTAGTCATACCCCTAATATATATATAAAGTATGTATGTATGTATGTATGTATGCATGTATTTATATATATATATATATATATATATATATATATATATATATATATATATATATATATATATATATACATACACCTACTATAGTACATAGAGATCAGCAAATGCTTACTAAAAACAAAGAATAATAAAAAAAAGATTGCTACCCTATCCTAAACCCTCAGTCCATGTAGCAGCACTCCTTTGTGACAGCAGGCTATGTATGTACTATATATATATATATATATATATATATATATATATATATATATATATATATATATATATATATATATATATATATATATATATATATATATATATATATATATATATATATATATATATATATATATATATATATATATATATATATGTAGGTGTTCCATAAAAAAAAAGTTCAAAAATCTTCCTGGCTGTTTCCTGGTGAAGGGTAACGTAAAAATCCTAAATTTCAAATTTCAGCCCAAAATGTTAACCCTAACCCTTATACCAAGTCCCCCAAAAGTATTTTTTGGGTTTTTTCAAAGATTTTAAATTAGTTTTAATCTATAAGTTTTTGTAAGTAAATAAACAAGTAAATTCAGTTTTAACTTTCATTTTACATATATGATCAGGAAAAAAAAAAATTATAGCCATGATAACAAGTTTAATTTAGGGATTAAAATATCATAAATATTGCTAATTTTTCATGTATATTGAGTAACTTTCAAAATTAGTCTCATTAAAAAACAATAACACATTTTCTAACCTATTATACATTTGAATATGAATGAATACACAAAGCTATTACAAATTTATTTAATTAAGAAAAAGTAGTAACATTAGTCATATTTGTTCAACGATTGTTTAAAGTAGCTTTTCTGAAATTGGTATAGCTCTTTCTGTGGTTTTCAACTAATTGTAACACATTTTGCTTGCTTTTTTCATATTTTTTGAGGGACAAGGAAATGTCTTGCACCAATTTTATACATATCTCAGCAACATCATTAACAACTCTAATATTTTTTAAAAAGTTCATTGCTTTAAGATTGCTTAAGTTTTTGTTCTCCTCCCATGTTTGCACATAAGTCTTCATCCACTCAGTGTTCACACCAAGGGCTTTAAACAGAAGCTAAGAGTTTTGTCCAATCAATGAAATTTTGCCATTTTTTGTTGCTAAAGGAAAGGTTGGTGTACCTTTTTTTAGCTCACCACACTGGTAGAATTGAATTTTCTTAATAATATTCTTTTTTTCATTGTCAGACAACATTTTTGAAAACAATCAAAAGTTTCAATCTCCTGGGTTAAATACCAAAATTCATTTTTAAATATTCTTGAGGTGCTTTTCTGATATTTCCTTGTTGATGACTTTGAATTCCTGCGATTCATTGAAAAGTTTCAACTTATTAAAAGAAGCATCAACTCATTAAAGGGGCATGTTAACCAGGGCTTGACATACACAAGAGCATTAAAAGACATATATCTCTTAGCTTCTCTGTAGTTACCTCATTATAATCCATAGAATCTTTGAGAAGGTACATTTTTGTAGCGTATATCACCAACGACATCCTTCTTGCATGATGAAAGGCCCCAGGCTTGTGCCAATGTACACCCTTATCTTGAATTTTGCGAATTAAAATTAACATAAGTTCTGTGCATTCCTTGTAACCATTACTTAGTTTGAAATTCTTATTCTTGAGCTGCTCTTTGAAAATAGAAATTGCAGAAATTTGCTGTAGCCTCATATTTCTGATTTTAATATCTAAGCATTTGAAGTCATCCTTGTCCAAGATAGTGTCCCATTTTTCCTGGAACCTGTTAAGGTATTCATTATTTGGGCTGTGATTACGTCTAAATATCACTTGCCAGGCTGCGCTCTGCAGTCTTTCCATTATGTGATGTCTGCATGCAAAATATAACAACTTTTTTTCTTAAAGAATTTCAATTTTTACGCATGCATCATTCTGCCAACCTGAGTTTGAAGCAGTTGTGTCAAAAGACAATCCAACTATATTATCTGATAACTCCCATTGCTGTACAAAAGAAAATGTAGCTGTGGCTTGACTAGACCTAGTACTCTCCACTATTTCTGAAATGCCTAACAATTGACCTTGTTCATAGCCTGGAGTTCCTGAAATTAATATTGCTAGTCTGACCGTTTCTTGTTAGGGTCAAATAGACTAGCAATATTAATTTCAGGAACTCCAGGCTATGAACTTTTCCATCCCAGTGCAAAACACAAAATTCAGGAGCTACAAACCAATGTTTTATTTCATCTTCCATTATGGCCCTATTTTCTTGATGATATCGATGAAACAAAATTTTTGAAATAGCAGTATCTAAATCAACTCCACCTCTTTTTAGTGTTGCAGCTGTTGCTTTTTAGTGTTTAGTGTTGCTTGATTAAGGGATAGATTGAAGCGCTCAGCCAATTGACAAATCAATTAGTAAGTGACTACACAATTAGTAAGTGATCTTACAAACAGTTCTTTCTTAGGCATAATCTAGATTTTTTTCTTTTTTTTTTTCTGATGAGTCTTTATTGATGAAACACAGTGTTAAATAAGAAAAAATTTTGCTAAGTGATTTTCTACTAATTTGTAATTGCTCTGTTCTTTTAAGAACATTGAGCACTCTTTTTGTAGAATACATTTTAAATTGTTTAAATATATATATATATATATATATATATATATATATATATATATATATATATATATATATATATATATATATATATATATATATATATATATATATATATATATATATATATGTATATATATATATATATATTTATATATAATTCCTAAACATATCAGTTAAAAAGTTAGAAATAAAAAAACAATAAAATTAGGCTAATAGAGCTTAATAAATTTTTAGTTTTCTTGTTATCTATTTATTTTAGAGTAATTGAAAGCAAGAATTCTACTTACCCTGTAGGTACTATTGTTGTATCAGGACAATGTGGATGGACAACTCATTTTATTCCTATTAAAAGTGTTCATGATTCAAAGATGTTTCATATTGTTCCTCCATATTTGAAAGATGTTTCACATGCTATAGGTGTTCTTGGATTAACTGGGTAAGTCAGAGATTGAAAGTAAAAATGATTTAAAAACCTGTGAGCAGGTTGTTAAATCATTACCTATTGTTTCAGGATAATTTTCAAATTAAAATTTAAAAACTTATTTTTTACATTTTTGAAATGAACGGTATTTTCCTTTTAAATGCCAGGAGTTCCTGATTCAAAATTGATATGAAACTATTTTTTGTTTCTTCTGAAAACTTCAAATGATTATTTTAAGTTTTTGTAAAAAACAGTTTCTCGCAAAAACTTAAAGTGCAAAATAAATAATTGCCTAGAATAACAAAATTGGAAAATATAGTAACTTCAACAAACTCCTTTTTTCACTAACTATATAACTTTTAAAGTTTGGTTTTTTTGATAAGTATTTAAAACTACATCTACTATTCAATTACTATATACTACTACTACTACTACTACTACTACTACTACTACTACTACTACTACTACTACTACTACTACTACTACTACTACTACTACTACTACTACTACTCCTGCTGCTGCTGCTGCTGCTACTACTACTACTACTACTACTACTACTACTACTACTACTACTGCTGCTGCTGCTGCTATTACTGCTACTACTATTTCTATAAAAAGAAAAGTAACTATCTAAAATAATAATAAAACTATATTTTGAAAGTCACAATTGCAAAGTTTGTTTCCCGCATTTTCTATCATTAATTAGTACATAAGAAAATTGTATGAGCGTTTAAATGTATTCAAAAAAATACTTCTTAATTAAAAACTAAGAAGTTTTATCATTTAAACAAAAATACTCTTTTATTTTTTAAAAAATATTAAGTTAACAAATATGTACATCAATTACTTTTAGAAATATGTTAACTGATAAAATCTATATATAAATTGTTAATATCTTTTTGTTTTTAAATAATAGATTTTTAATAATTGATCTTTATTAAAAATACTACATTAAATACATAAAAATAAAAAAATAAATTGTAATAAACAAACAAAAGATTATGTTAAGTACAAGATTGTTTTAAGAAAAAAATAAGAAGGAAATTTTATCTTTTTTAAATACCAAATTTAGATTCTACTAATAACTTTTGGTATATTAGTTTAAATGGTTTTTTACGCTATTTAAAATTAAATATATTTAAATATAGTTAAAAATAATTTAAAAAAAGCTTCGACGTGGTACTTTAAAATACTTTTAAAATATCAAAATAACACTTTAAAAGCAAAGCAAAGTATTTGTAAATTGTTTTTTTGTATTTGTCAATACATTGTTGTTGAAAAAAAAAAGCGCCTATTTTTTTTTATAAAAAAAACGCTCAATTCAAGTGAAAAAACTAATGTTATAGGCAACTTAAAATAAGAATAAAACATATAATTGATTTCAGCTCTCTAATCAGAAATATCATTACTTGTGAATACTGTGTGCTTTTGTAAGTAGTATTGCAAAATAACAAAGCCTGCTATCGAGGCTAGTTGGAACAGAATATAAAAGTTTAAAATCTGCCATGTTTAATTAAAATAAATGCACTTTTACAGGACACAAGTTTTTTTTTTTTTTTTTTTGTAAATTCACCTCCTCAAGGCCGAGAAGGCCACTACAGACAAGGAGGCTACTTATTTGTGGTTATATTATAAGTATATGATTTATATGAAGTATATGGTTATATTATAAGTATATGATTATAAGTATATATATTTATATATATATATATATATATATATATATATATATATATATATATATATATATATATATATATATATATATATATATATATATATATATACTATATATATATATATATATATATATATATATATATATATATATATATATATATATATATATATATATATATATATATATATATATATATATATATATATATATATATATATATATATACACACACACACACACTTACTAAAGCGTATTTTTATAAGCATTTGCTCACTTTTTATGCTGTACTGAAGCCCCCAGCAGCAAGCTATTTCAGTAATACTATTTGTATATATATCTATATATATATATATATATATATATATATATATATATATACTTTTGTCATTACAAAAAATGGAAGGTTTTTTATCTCTAGCAATTGTGCGCATTTTTTTTATTATAAGATTTGTTAACAGGTATTATTTTATAAGCGCATAAATTGGTAAGAAATTAAAAAAACATGGTTTAAAAACATATTTATAAAACAATTGTTCTACAAGTTTTTAAACTGTTTTAATTAATACTACGTTATTATCTTTTCAACAAGCAAGTTTATTAAAATATAACTTAATTTTATGTTATACTTTATGCTAATACTAATAGTTAAATAAAAAAAGTTGTAATAAAAAAAAATTTAACTTTATATGAAAAATAATAAACTTTAGATTTTAATAAAACAATGCAAAAAACAAACAAAAATTTTTATAATTTAAAGAGGTACATCCCTTTACTAAGAAGGGATTTAAAAAACTGGCGCTTAGGAGATCGAGTCACAAGAATATGTTCTTAGTTAATTTCACTTTGGACAGAATGGAAACAAATCAGTTGCCTCTGAGGATTCACCTTATCCAACATTATTTAGTTTTAAGAGAGAAGTAAAGCACTAAAGGACCTTGTCACTTTTCCTTTAACAACCAAAACTTTCAAGTAAGTTTTAACTTTATAAATCAATAGGAAGTGAAAAGTTATTTTATGTTTTATGTAAGCTATAATAAAGACAATATAACAAGTATATATTTTAATTTACGTATATTTCTTTTTAGATTAAAATGCATAAAAAACAACAATTTTTGCAATATTAGTTGTGTTCTTTCTGGAATTCCTTGGAGAAAGACTGGGTTCAAAGTCATCAGTGACAAAAGGATGATGTACCATGTAAAGAAATATTGAGAATATACATAGAATTGAAGAAATCCTGGAACAAATTGGAATTGGATATCTAGAAGAAATAAATTTGAGAAATCAATGACAGGTATGAATATTTTATAGACAAACAGCTTGTACTATGCTAATTTAGCGTGAAATAAATAGTTTACATTTTCTTGTAACTTAATTATTAAATTTCAACTTCAATGATTGTTTTGGGCTGAAGAAGGCATAACGCTTCTTAAACGTACCTTGATGACTGATAAGCTTAGACTACCATCAGATAAGATTAAAGATTTAAACTTTAAATGGGACCAGTTAGGTGGCAGAAAGATTGTGATTGGATGGTCAGTTTGTAGTTATTAATAGAAAATCTACATTTAGAAAGAGCTCTATAACCTCTGCTAGGGTGGGAAAACCTAGCCGTGATCAATCAGAATTTTGCTTTGAAAGTGATATGAATATAGATGAACACCTGGACTATGCTGATGCCAGTTCTGAAGATGATTTTGAGATTGATAACGCTTTAAAGAAGAAGACTGTTAAAAATATGACTCTTAGTATTCAAAAAGATATTTTTTAAAAAACTGCCAAGACTGCTATCGGAATGGGAATACCTACTAACCAAGCAACTGCACTTATCTTTTATTTTTAAGGCTGGCGGACATATTAAGGATGTAACATTGTCTCAGTTTTATTCACAGTATTTTCGATAAAATGATAAAAAAAAGATGCTGCTGCTCTTAGAGCTAACTTAACCAGTATGGTTAAGGAAAATGGCAAATCGTGTCATTTACCTTCAAATTTGTTCATTTTGATAGTAAAATTATCAAAGATGAGACATAAGACCATCTTGGTGTGCTTATAAAGCTTAACAATCAGACAGTTATTAGGCGTTCCAGGACTGGAACATGGTAGATAGGCCCAGTTTACAGCAATTCAAAGCTTGTTATATTCTTTTGATCTAGGACAATTCATCCATGGTGTTTGGTTTGATACCATGGCTTCAATCACTGGCTATTTAAAAAGGGCTTGTTCAAGGTTAGCTAAGTTTTATGGCCGACCATTATTCTTGTTAGCATGTCATCATCATGTTGGAGAGCTCCATATAAAACACTTTTGTAATGAAGTTGTAATAAATAAAACTGTCGGGCCAGGGATAAAGAACTGGGTTGGTGTTGATTCAAATAATGAAAAGGTACCTTTTTATTATTTAAACCAACACCATCCCAGTTCTTTATTGAAGAAGAACTGGGATACTGTTGATTTAAATAATGAAAAGGTACTGTTAAAATTCAATAACCAGAATGTTAACGGCACATGGTTGGAGAGGTAAGCTCTGTTGGCGCTTAAATCTTGTAAGAACCTAATAAACTAAAAAAAGTTACCTAATAAACCAATAGCAAAGTAATACATTTTTACTTAAATTTTTAATTCATTACATTAAGACATTTCAGAAGCGTGAAAATTATTTTGAACTGGCAGAGAGTAATGTTTCTTGAAGAAGATTAGTTCATCAGGTACAAGTTTCACAAAACTGGAGCTATTTCACAAGCCAGGTTTTTGGCAAAGGCACTCTACTAAATGAAATTCAAGTTGCTTCTTCTCAAAATCAGGCAGTTTCTTCTTTTGAGTGAATAAGTTATTATAGAGATCAATAGAATGGCTGACTTTATTTCTCTTTTCTGGGCAACCTGGTTTTTGACCTGCGAGTTTACAGAATCTACAGCTTTTAAAGTAAAATTTGATTTTAGAAATTTTAATGTTTTAGTTTTAATATTTAAGAATGTATACTCTTTTTAATTTACATTAACAATCTTTAGATATTCTCATCTATAGTGGCATTGTTGCTGATGATACTACCATTTATTCTTGTCATGATAAGAAGCCATCACTCTCTAATTGCTTGGAGGGGGCATTTGAGCTTGAAAAGGATCTCATTTCTGCTACAGCATGGAGCTCACAGTGGTTGATGAACTTCAATTCAAATAAAACCCAATTTTTTTCAGCCAATTGTTATGCTATAATTTGGATCTTTCTTTATTTATGAACGGTAATGTACTTGGTGAATCATCTATCCTTCATCTTCTTGGATTAACTCTTACTTCCGACTTTTCTTAAAAACCATGTATCAAATCGATTGCAA